CCCTAATATAGGGGCCTTCATAATTTAGAATAGGGTTGTGGGGGTTTCCTTATTATAATTGTAGTACAAAGGACCCCCAAACCCTATTCTGATTGCTGCGGCCCCTACATGACTCCGCCCTTTGGCTGCAAGGGCATGTCGAGGATTGAAGCTTTCAGGGTGTAGGACTTTGGGCTGCCAAATCTCAAAAAGAGAGCTTAACATGTGGGCTTTAGGGTTTAGGGTTTAGGGCCGCAGAGTTTGTTCAGCGTTTGAGTCATTGACGTTTTGGATACACGGTTTGGGGCTTCAAGTTGCGGGTTTGCGGTTGCTGGCTTACTTGAAGAGACGCCTTGCCTCTAACCCGACCTCTTGGGCTTACTATAGGGGCCTAAAGAGTTACCTATATTATTTTGGGGCTTCCTTATTGTAATTATAGTATCATGGGCCCCAAACCCTATTCTAATTATTAAGGCCCCTACATTATCACCCTGCTGCAGGCAAAGCGATGGCAGTTCAGGAACAAAGGCCAGAACACAAAATTGTTGCAAAGTTTCAAAGTGAATACCCTACATCCTAACCCTAAACCGCCTAAACCCGTAAACCCGAAACCCAATAAGACTTTGTCATGCCTTGCACAAAGCTGGGTCTTCCTGAAGCTTGAGGAGGCTCTTCGCGATGAGGGGCACGAGGAGAAGAAGTCCAAAAAGCGTGACTGAGCAGCAACTTGATGAAATCCTAAATCCGAAATCCGAGACCCCTAAACCCTAAATGGTAACTCCGAGACCCCTAAACCCCAAACCCGAACTCCGACACCCCTAAGCCCTAAACCCGAACCTAAACCCTAAACCCTAAACCCTAGCTCCCAGACCCGACAGTCTAAAGCACTGCATTGTTACTACATCCCCAAACTCTGTTATTATAGGGGCTTCAATAATTACCAATGCTATTTTTGGGGGTTGCCTTGTTATAGTTATAGTATACTATGCCCCAAAACCCTGTTCTATTTAGTAAGGCCCCTACATTACAGGGACATGCTTCAGCTGCTTCACCGACATGATTGGGAGCCTGGAGCTTTATATCCAGGTCTAATTTAGGGTTTAGGGTTTAGGGTTTAGGGTTCCTGTAGTGGCGCTACTAGCTAATAAGAACCCTGATGGCCCTTACATGGCTATAGCGCTAGTAGCTAATAAGATCCCTGATTGTCCTTGCATAGTCATGGCATAACATGTCTTTAACACCCTCTTCTGATTCTTGGGTCTCCGAGAATTCGGCGAAAGGATGACTGCTTGGGCTCGTCCGTAACCGGAGCCGAATGGGTGGGTGTCTAGGAATATTGGGGCAGCTGGAATCAAGTTGAATCGGGTTTTGCGGTTGCTTTGTACTATAAGTATGTCGTGACGAGGGTTCAATGCCAAGACGCCACACCGAGACCCTCCATCTACCTTCTCTAAATACCCATTATGTGAGACCATATACTTGGAGGTTCATGGGTAGTTACAAGTGGGGTTCTAAGTAGGGAAACCATACTTATTACCCTAAATGACTTATAACCCCACTTATAACTACCCATGAACCTCCCAGTACCCCTGTTTGAGGGTACAAGGAGGGTCCTGGCAATCCTGCCAGGCAAGCATGCGGCTTCACCTGGACGTCATGAGATGCTGCAAGGCGACAGACGGCTGAAGATTGAATCTTCCCGTAGTAGTCGGGCTGAAGAGTATAGTCGCTAGGGGCCTCTATGATTACCTATATTATTCTGGGTTCCCTTCTTAGGATTATACTATGAGGGACCCCAAACCCCTATTCTAATTATTGAGGCCACTATATTAGTCACTAGGGGCCTTAATGGTTTTGTGAAAACGGTTTTGGGGATATATGTTCAAAGGGACTGTAAGGGAAATATTCTTAAACGTCTGGCGGCACTAGCGGCACGGCTTATAGGACTTAAGTTTGCCACCACAAGCCATTCAGAGCTGACCAAGACCTGAACCCCGCAAGTCTGGGACGCTGATTTCCGACCCAGACGCCAGACACCTGGCTCCAAGAATCCGAGCAAAACATAGGGGATCCGGTCATTTTCCATGCCGAGGGGTAGAATTGGAATCCTGACTGCACAGACCGCTAGAATTTTGCTCCATCACCCTCCACTTGGAGGCCCACGGGTTATGAGCACAGTTACCCTACTTACAACCCCATTTATAACTACACATGAACCCTAAACTCTAAACCCTAAACCCTTGTAGTAACCTCTTATAGCAATCCCAGTTGTAACTACCCATGAACCTCCAAGAACCCCCAAGCAAACCCGCAACGTCAAACCCCGAACCATCTCGCAGGCGTCCTGACTGCCGTCTATGCGACCCGGGCGGTGTCGCTGCGGGACGGGTTTTAGGCTTTAGGGGCTTGGGGCGTTGGGGGTCTTGGAGGTTTTAGGCCCTAGGCCCTAAACCCTAAACCCTAAACCCTAAACCCTAAACCCTAAACCCTAAACCCTACCCTTGCGGTTTTGGGGGTTCAAGAGTCAACGGCCTTTAAGACTCGTGCTTCTCGACTCCGGAGAATCGGTGCTGAGCCGGTCAGCTGGGGTCTGCAGCCTGCGGACCGGAACTGCTGCTGAAGGGGCTTTAGGGTTTTAGGGTTTAGTGGTTTAGGGTTTAAGGTTTAGGGTTTAGGGTTTAAGGTTTAGGGTTTGGGGTTTAGGGTTTAGGGTTTAGGGAGGTTTGCAAGGCTTTTTTGATCCTGAGCTTTGGGGAAACACGTCCAGACACCCTAAACCCCCACACCCCAACTACGGCTAATGCGCTACTAACTGCGAGGACGAAATCTCCCATTACACCCGTGTAAGCACTCGGAACCACGGAGTCACATGCTCGCCTGCTCGCTGTCGAAGAATTTGAATGCGGCTTGCTTACAGAATGTGTCCAAGAATAAGTTACAGCTGTCGACAATATCGTTTAATGTATCAGCTTTTGTTGCCCTTTTCGGGCACTATACGAAACTTGGCAAGCAAGAAACAGAACCTCCCTCCTTGTATCCTGAACCCTGAAATGAAGTTGGCTTTAGTGTTAGGGCCAATTTGGGTTTAGGGCTGAGGGTGATTGTCCAGAGTTCCAAGATTGAGCTCGGTGCGGGTGGCAACGGAGAGAACAAACCTTGACTGCCCGGAGCCAGAAAGAGAATTGTAGAGCGAAACAGCCGGTGTTGTCGCAGGATCTTCCGACAGACCTCACCGTCCAGCTGTTGCCTGGCATGAGTCGTGAACATAGAGTCATAGAGGCTATACTATTCTGCGGGTTCCTTAGTATATATAGTATAATATATCCCGAATCCCTATTCCAATTATTAAGGCCCCTGTAACACGGACTCTTTAGAAGCCTTGAGAATCAGGAAACCCTAAACCCTAAACCCTAAACCCTAAACCCTGGAAATAGTATGCCTTAGGGATCCCTACCCCCACGAAGGAAGCAGCCCCAGAGCCCGGCTCCGATTTTTTAGGGTTTAGGGTTTAGGGTTTAGGGTTTAGGGTTTAGGGTTTAGTACGCCCCTTTATCCTAGACCAGGAGGTTCTTTGAAGACCTTTCTGCGGCATGCTCTGGATAAAGGGGGGGCTCTGAAAAAAAACTAACCCGCAAATTCGTTTTCTCCCGGATCAAGGGTTCCCAGAGAACCCAATACTCCTTAATTAAGGAATATACCTTAAATCATAATATTAGGGCCCCTGTAATTTAAGGTATGTTCCTTAATTAAGTATTGGGTTCTCTGGGTTCATGCTATGAGGAAATCTGAGTTTGGGGCTCAGGCTTTTGGGTTTCAGGTTGAGGGTTTAGGGTTCAAGGTTCAGGACATCCGGACCACTGAGAAGCCTAAAGCCTCTACAACGAGATCCGAGCATTGTTCCTTGGGGTTCCGTATTTCATCTAGACGATAGTAGTCCCCAAAACTGTCTTCTAATTCTTGATGCCCCTATACTACACCCCCCGAACCTGGCTGGGCTTGCAGATGAAGGTTTGGGGTTCCGCAAGACCCCTTAGGCATGCTGAAACCCCCCCATAAAAGCACTGACACCGGTTTAAATCCGTGATAGAGCCCCAAACACATGTAAAAGAAGAAGTGTTTCCAGCCATAAGGCGGCAAAGCCTCAAGTCAGCCTGCAGCCTACTTTAGGGGCCTTAATAATTACCTATGATTACTATTTTGGTGGGGGGTTCCTTAGTATAATTACAGTATATTATATCCTAAAACCCTATTCCAGGCCCCTACATTACTCTACTACCAGGGCCTAAATGAATTACCTACATCATTTTGGGTGGGGTTCCTTATTGTTATTATAGTATGATGGGGCCCCAAAACCCTATTCTATTTCCTAAGGCCCCCTACATTAGTTCGCTGGACGAAACTACAGTCACGTAATCACACAAGGCCACGAGCAAGACCTCTTGGAGGCCTCCAAGCAAAGCTCCCGGCCCTACTTGGAGGTTCATGGGTAGTTAGAAATGGGGTTATAAGTAGGGTAACTATACTTATAACCCAGGTTTATAACTACCCATGAACCTCCAAGTATGCCCTGTAAAGCGATGATCAGAGGACCGGAGCTTGCCTTTGCAGTGTCGGCGGTAGAGTGATTCCCAGAGAACCCAATACCCCTTAATTAAGGAATATACCTTAAATTGTAGGGGCCCTAATATTATGATTTAAGGTATATTCCTTAATTAATGGGTATTGGGTTCTCTGGATTTAGAACCCCGGGTTGCCACAGAAGCCAAAAACCAAATCCCCGAAGCCCAAACGCCCAACCCATTGACCCGGAGCAAAGAAAACATCCGAGACTCCAAACGGCAAGCCGCAGTCAGCATAGTCAGGAGAGAAGAACATTTCTTAACCAAACTCCATGAAACAACCCTGGAAACCCCTTGTTTCTCCCGAACCTAGTAGTACAGTAGGTAACCTTTAGACTTAGACTCGCCTTTTTCGGATTTTTTGTAATCCCTGTACAATCCCAAAGGCCAAGTAGGCTAAATCCCAAGTTGTTGCTCAGGGTGGAAGGCCACTTGGCGGCCCTCAAAGCTACAATCTCGGCTCCGGCTGCCCTGCGCGCTCTGGCACTCAGGCCGGAGCGAACGTCCAAACGTAAAGTCTGCGCGCAACGTCGTGGTATCACTAGCTCTGCGTGTGCAAAGATATACAATGCGATCCGAGCATAGATGAGCGTACGTAGGTATGTAGGTGCGTAGGTAGGTGGGCGGGTGGGTGGGTGGGTGGGTGCGTGGGTGGGTGGGTGGGTGGGTGGGTGGGTGGGTGGGTGGGTGGGTGGGTAGGCAGGCAGGCAGGTAGGTAGGTAGGTAGGTAGGTAGGTGCACACGCGCAGACACAAGACACAAGGAGAAAGATCTGCACAGAACAAGTACAGATATCCACAATACCTGAGTGTTGGTGTTGATGCTAGAGCAACCACGGAGAGAGAGAGAGAGAGAGAGAGCGAAGAGCGAGCGAGCGAGGGAGCGAGACAGACAGAAAGACAGACTGACAGACACTGGCAGACACACAGACACATAGACAGACACGCAGACACACGCACAGACAGACAGAGAGACAGAGAGACAGAGAGAGAGAGAGACACCCACACATACAAACAAGCACAAGTTACAAACACATATGCTCATGCCTACAACTTGTGAATAGACACGGATATACACTTGTTTCATCATACAACGCCAAACAAAGGGAGAGGCTCGTCGTTGTTAGGGGCAGGCTTGGTTTGAGACCGCCCAGGTGAACATTGCAATCCGCAACCTCGACGCCCCTCCACCCAAAGACCAATTGCACTCCAAAGCCACTTCACATCTTCGATCGCTAAGCCTTCGAAGCCCCAAAAGCCGCTAGAAGCCCCAAACCCTAAGCCCAAAGCCCTAAACCCGACATCCCTCACCACCAGAGGCGTAAGCCTTGAACAGTTGGGTCGAAACAGCTCTGACCAGCAGGTGCTTTGGAAGTCTTCTTCACAGGCTGCGCTGTGTCCGAAATTCGACGTACAAGGGTTTAGGGCTCAGGGCCGGAATAGTATTTTGGGGGCTACTTATTATAGTTATAGTATACTGGGCCCCAATACCCTATTCTAATTATTAAGGTCCCTACCTTGGTGATATTGTGCCGAATTGTGCCCCCTACATAAACAGCCCTACACCCCATTCGAATTCTTCCGGCCCTGGCGCAAGCCCCGACAGCCCCATCACTGCCCGGACCTTAAAGACGAAATAGCCCTTAGAAGTAGGGACCCTTTACCCATATACTATGAGTCCCTATATGGTATATGAACCTTAAACCCTTTTGGGGTTCATGTCGTCCTTAAGGGAAAAGAGGTAGTTCTAAGTGGGGTTATCTAAGCCCCCTAATATGGGGTTATAAGTATAGTTACCCTACTTATAACCCCAACTATAACTACCCATGAACCCTAAACCCTAAACCCTTATAGCAACCTTATAACCCCATTTATAACTACCCATGAACCCTAAACCCTAAACCCTAACCCTTATAGTAAACCCCATTTATAACTACCAAGGAACCTCCAAGAGATGGGGGTTTCCGAAAATAGGGGACCCTAATATAGTACCCCAAATAATAGGATCCTTATTATAAGGACCCCAAAATAAGGTACCCCCTATTTTCGGAAACTCCCATATACTATGAGTCCCTATATGGTATATGAACCTTAAACCCTAAACCC